GATGTCACATTTTCTTCACTATCTCCTGATAAAATCCCAGATCCCAAAAAGTTTAATGCTAAAAGAAGTACATTAGCAATATTTGAAGATCTTTACTCTGACCCCCTAGCTATACAGAAAAAAATTATTCTATTTTTCACTCGAGGTCGTCATGAGAATATTTCCTCAATTTATGTTGCTCAGAAATTCCACAAAATCCCAATAGATATTCGCGAAAATGCCACTTACATTGTTTTCTTTAATGGTAGAGGCTCTATTCGAAGACTTGCAGATATTATAAGTCCTTACACTGATGTAAATTCGTGAAAAGCTTCAAAAATTATTGATGGTTATTTGAGGCAAAAAGAGTTTATAATTATAGATCTGAATAAACCCAGATCTAAGTCTTTCTCACTTCGATGGGACACCCCTCATGATCTAGAAAAGAAGATCAAGGAATTAAAAGATAATAAACATTTTGCCTAACCAGGGCAATATTTCAGAAAATATAATACTTTAAAATCAGATAAAATAAGGCATAACAATCGAATAATTATTTTTTTGGTTATTTATTAATACAACAATATAAGTATATCCTACTCGCCACTTCTTATATAATTGAGAAGATACACGTATCCAGCCTACCTAGTATTTAAATTGAGATGGATGTTTTCAGTATCTTATTCGCTACTATTCTCCAATGAAATAGCTATCAGTATCCAGCCTGATTGAGATTGAAGTAGATATTAAAAAATAAATAAATTTTGTAGTTTATTTGTACCAAGGAGATTTTTGTGCTGGGTAAAATAGGTTGATATAAAAAATCAAAGTAAAAAATGGTATTTCTTTTCTTTAGGAAAGATAACAAAATAAAATTTATTTTCAATAGATATATATGAATATATAGATATGTGTATTGTGAAGCTATAGATTGATAATTTGATGCATTTTTCCATGAACTGTTTATAATAATTTATTCGATTCTAATAAATGGCAGATATTTATTATCAATATATGTCAAGTGGGTACGCACTAGACAGTCTCCTAGTGCTAGTTTAGCTCAGATCGGGTCACTTAGGGGTTCACCAGCAAACTCACAAGGCTTGGTGACACCTCCTTCGATTCTGGAGCAACACTCTAACTTTTATGAAACATGCACACACACCACTTGAGAAACCACAGGTTTGTATTTTTATTTAACTAAGTGATTTCTTACTATTGGGATAGAGAGAACTGGATTCGCTTACGAATCCTTTATTCTATTTATATCAATTCTCTGACTACAAATTGGTTTCATCAGACCATATATCGATGACTACATATTTAATGCAAGATTGCACACAAATAACAATAGACTACATCTATGACATACATATTACAAATAAACTATCCATACATAAAGTCATTGATCTATCTGATTAGAGTCTATTACCCTGATCATCACGGGCACCACGTGCCCCCGTGATGTTACAATTGAAATCCAAATCACAACCGAACATTCCCCGAACGTAGTATACAGAGGTTTGACCACCATCGTGACAATATATAATTCAGGATTTTGTATCCACTTTAACATTACATATCATTGCTTACTATTGATTACTCTGTATCCTTGTT